AAGGAACAGCGATCATCATCCAGGAACTGGGGTCCCCCGGGAGGCGAGGACGCGCTTCGCGTCGTCGAGGAGCACGCTCCCCGTGGCCATGTAGAACAGGGCGCACACGCCGCCGTGGATCATTTCCTAAGGGGAGACGGCAACGATTTTCGTGGTCGAAGCCGGTTCCTTCCAGGTACTTCCTCATTAAATTTTTTTGGTTGTGACCCGACCCCAACTCCTCAATTGCTGCCTTGACGTTTCATTGTCTGTAGAATCTTCTTCCTCGGAGATGAGATTTCAAAAATGGAAATAGGTAATAGTCACAGGGGGCCAAATCTGTACTTTAAGGTGGGTGGTCGAACTGCTTGAAGCCGCACTCCTTAATAGCGGAATTGTACAAGTCCACTGGTGCGTTGTCATGGAGGAGCGGGGACGGCCTGACTCGCGGGGGGGGGGGATGTCCAAGCGGGGCGCGATGGGGGCGGAGCAGGGACGAGCCTGATGTGCGGCCTAGCTGGGGGCGTAGCCGGCCTAATGGGAGCCTCGGGGCCTGGATGATCTTTCTGCTCGGCCAGGATCTTCCTGGCAAGGAGCGAATGAGCGAACCTGGGGTCGCGAGCAATCTGCAGCCGTTTTTCTTGCCGTTTGGGGCAACCGGCCGAGTTTGCTGCGTGTGCTCCTTGGCACTGGCTGCATTTATAGATAGGATGCAAGCCGTTCAGCTTTGCCTGGCAGGTTTTGTGGGTATGGCCCTTTCCCGAGCAGTACGAGCACACGTCGCGGTCGGCCTTGCATCGTCCTAATATAGTGGCCGTACTGCAGGCATTTGAAGCATCGAATGATTCGTGGCCGAATCACGAATTCTACGCGGAGGCGGAGGCAGCCGATTTTAAACGCGCCTTAATGCGTATGGTGCTCGCGTTCTGGTAGTCTACCGGCTTAACTAGTAGGAGAGGGAGGGACGCGGCGGTTTTGGTTTTTCGCGTCCTGATGCCATTCGCAGCAAATGTAATCCCATACTCGAGTGCGAGAACGTCGCGGCCCACATGTCAAGAGTGTGAAACTTGCAGTCAGATTGTAGAGATCCGGCAGATTCAGGTTGTCCATGAGTTTAAACCCATCCTCCTACTTCCTCTCACCACCTCAAACCTCAAACCAAAAGGAATTCGGCGCGTCGACAGGAGGAGGTCTTCCTCGTGCACGGATGCCCGGAACGCCGCATCCACTCCCCGCTCACTCGCCAGAAACCTCCTCCGTGCCTCCCTCCCCTCCTTACGCTTCCGCCCGGATGCCTCCCGATTCGCCTTCGATGCCGCGATCCTCGGACGTTCTCTCGTCGATCGACTTCGACGATTCCTCGGAACGCACGAAAACGTCGACGCTCGCGATCTCTGCACGGGTTCCGGAGGAAAGTGGATCGGAGAGAAGCGTTTCCATCCGGAGGATGTCCGTCTCCCCACCCTCACGCGACCGGACTTTCGTTTCCGGTACGACACGAAGGGAAAAGGTTTCTCTCGTCGCCCAGTACGGCGACGAGTCTCACGGATGCATTTCCTCCCATCCGATTTCCTGCCTTCGTTCCCTCGCGTCGCAGGTCGCGATTTCGGTCGGTTCTCCTCGACGTCTCCGGCATCCCGGCATCCCACGAAACCGTTTCGATTCCGTCCTTCACCGATTCCTTTTTTCGAGTCGCGACGCGAAATCCTCGATCATGCCACCACGAGTTCCGTTCGCGGGAACGTCTTTTGCGAAAATCTCCTTTCCATCCCCTTTCCTATTCCCGATCCGTCACGAAAGACGCGTCCAGAAATCCACGCATCAGTTTTTACCATATTTCCCTTTTCATTCCTCTTCGACGATGCGTCCGAATTTTACCGGTGGTGTTCGCCTAGAACTTGAAAATCCGCTCGAAGGTGAAAGTCGGGTGAGTGTGTGCGCTCGTTTATAGACATTTCCACCTTCAAGCGCGAATCTCTCGAGAACGAGGGGAAATGTTCTGATTCTTCAACGTGGACGGGTATGCGCGCACGCAAGGTATACGCCTCGCCTTCTTCATTCCACCTCTTGCTACACGGGCGACGTCCGCGGGTTTGCTAAGGGAAAGGACAAAGCCTGACCGGGGCTTACTTTAGGTCAAGCAGGGGACAGTTAGGAAACGAGTACGAAAAGGCGCGAGGGAAGAAGAGTTCCGAACGCATAGTCATTCTCGAGTAGCCAAGTCAGGTTGTAAAGAAGATCCGGCTGAAGTTCAGAAGAAGAAGAAGTTCAGGCTGCATCCATGAGTTTAATTCTTATCCTCCTCTACCTCAACCCCCTACCAAAAGCTTGGTCCTCCTCGGGTAGTCATGCCCGCTCGGCTCAACCTCCCCATGGGGTGTACACTGTTTCCTCGCGCTTAACTTCTCATCAACTTCTTCCAGGATACCGGTGGAAACACTCCTGACTCCCGACATAAGGGTGGTACTCGGGGAACCATCCTTCCCTCCATATATCAGATATTTAGACATAAGTACCGGATTAAGGCGTGGTAAATAACGTGGAGCCAGAGGCGCCATCTCGCCTCGATCCGAGAAAATACACTCATCCGGGTCTCTGGAGTCTGGATTAAAGCAAAAAAAAACACTATATACAATATCGTGACAATATTATAGCACAGATTCCCAAGGTTTCCAGGGTTCACTGCTCACCTTGTACATTCTACCATGAGTTAAAAGTGAAGAAATGTGAAGAATTTATCCACATGATCGAACAACAGTCAGACTTGACTGCCTCGTATCGTCTTCAAAGTATGATCGGATCACGACGTGTGTAAAGCAGAAGGCAGCCCAACATATGAAACCGTGTCTATCGCAGAAATACGTGAGTCTATGTTTCCCTGATGAGACTTTCAAGGGTCTGTCAGTTTTCAATTTCGAACAGCTGACAACAAACCCTCAGTCCTCACCTTAGTAGCAAAACCGAGACGGCGAAGTAAATCGAGCGCTATTTCTAGATCAAGTCTGAAATTCTACCTTCAGAGCCTAAATTTTAGTATTAATTGTTCCCACCGCCGACCTGGATAATGGTTCACAGGGGAGAAGAACATCGTCAGGAATCTCACCTGATCAGTATTCATGGAGGTTAATTTGCTTAACATGCTGTTAAGTAAATTAACCAACAGGAGCATGTGCATTTGCGAGGACGCCAAACCTAATTTCGGGAATCGAGAGTGCTTTTCTCAATCCGGTGAGTTCCATCCGCAACCCTTTCCCTTCCGGGAATTTCGCGACCTGCGGCTTTCGTGACGAATAACACATCCCCTGCCCGATATCATCGCATTCTCCCAACGCACAAGGCTGCACGAATCCTGCACTAATAATGAGAATTGCATTCATTTGGGAGGCGATGAAGCAGCCATATGCAAATATGGAACGTACCAGTGCAATCTACGGATTCCACGAGGTGTACGGCACATGCGGCACTTCAAATCGCGCTCGGAACCTCGATACCAATATCGTCCTTATATTTGGAATCTTGAATTTTAACGAGGAAACATTTTGCAACCAGCCGGGGCGAGTCACGTGACTCATCCTCCTACTCTTCGCCTTCGGATGCTAAATTTGTAACATACCGCGCCATCTATCTCCGTTATTCGAAAAACGAGGGTCCCCGAAGTGAAGTGAGATGGAGTCGGAACAGCCACACTTTCCTTGGCACCAGGTGGTGACTTGCAACAGTTGTAAAAAGAATAATATATGCGCGGGAGAGTGCCAGGGAGTTTTTCAGATGTTGCTACAGGTGATAAAAAGCGAGGAAGGAAGGATCCATCGCATCTATGAAGACACCGTGTCCTCCACGAGGACGAATGAGTGTCTCCTTATCACATTCTACAAGTACCAAGCGTTCAGTCGAAGGGAGAATGGAGCGAAATATGAAGGTTGGCTGAAAAGTATTTTGGCTTGGGAGAAAAGAAAGGTGCAATTGTTTTAAATTATATGTATAATGTTCTTTGGACTTTTATTGTGATGTGTACTAGGTCTTATTATTATAACAGTAGTTTTCTGTTTCCAGATGTGAACGTCTTGGATAATGGAATCAATCAGGAAAAAGGAGAAATTTGAACATCTTGTAGTTACCCGTTACCTGTTAAAAGGGTGTAAAGGCAAAAGCCACCCATACCGACACGATAGAGACATTAAAGGATGACGCCCCATCACATGATATACACGAAGTTATTTCACGATGATATCATGCACGAGGAAGAGGAAGCCGAGGCGTCGCTTGAATTTTCAACGGTTGATTCCATCATCCAAGACATACACATCTGCAACCAAATAAAACCATTACAATGACAGTCCAAGGCACGAGGCCAGAGAAGCGCGATGGAGGCCCCTGCCAATTAATCTGGAGCGTGGGTAATAGTCAGGGTGAGGATGTTCGCCATCCCGAAGTCTCTCGATTGCACCGTCAAATTTATTCAGAAATTTCCGGTTCTCGATCGAAACATTTTCCGGCAACGAGGACGTAAACAGGGAATTCCCCTAAATACTCTGAAGAATAAATTCTGCATTTCCTGGGAAATCCCAGTCCGTCTTGCTCAATGCATTTCTCACGTCTTTCTTCTGGAATCTCACGAATGAGGGATCCTGCTTTCCGATTCCGACTATGAAGTGGACGATTTTCCTTCATTCCAAGTTTTCCCAACCACTTCACGGTGGAAAAGGCATTTCCGAGAAGTCCATCGCATTTACGCTTAGGTTATGACATATAGGTCATTAACGGCAGTTGTGCCTGTTTGAGCAACCTTGGAATCATGGGCTTCATCGCGAACGTCGAATATGAAAGACACCGGTATGTTACATTAATAATAAAAAAAAGAAACATTAGAGGAAAGCCCTCTCAAAAAAAGACATTTTTGGATGGACTTAGATTGCCTAGATGTAAGTACTCAGCTTCCCTTTTTCTCGCTCGAAAGGCTGCACAGATATACGAGCCGTTTCTACACGGAACAGAGACGGTAACGTACGAACAGGGGATCGATGTGCGCGTATATCAAAATGGGAAGGATGTTGTTGCTCTGACCGGAATGGACGGAAGAAGATAGCTGCTTCCGCTCTCAGTGGATTTCAGGCTGTCGAGTGAGGAAGATGGAGACCACCGCACGAACGAAACCTACAGTCGGCTCCAGCTTCAAATGCTGGATTAATGTGAGACCTCTCTTCACGTTCATGCAGCAGATCATTAAAGTATCAATAGCTACGGGGACACAAGAGAGCGTTTCCGTCTACAGATATTAGGAGCCGCGGCGCTCGCCCTGTTCCGAGTCGCCCAGGACATACGCTCGGAGCCACCTCAAGAAGTGGGACGGTCGAGAGATCCCGTGGAACCCGACTTGGATATGAGCAACGTGATCGTCGGGACACTAGTGGGGCTGTTTCTCTCCAACCTCGTTCGCTCCGTCGCTCACCTCGTCGATCTCGATCATGAATCTGCCGTGAGTTTCGAGCATAGACCTCGATCGAATATGGGATGTGGCGAAGACACATCTTGGGATTTCAATCGGACGTTCGAGGGACGTAATGCGGCATGGCATGTGCGATGGAGGCTCCTAGTGGTTGCGGTTCTTTCATGCTTCGTCAGGAAAAATAGTGCTATTCGGTGGAGGTAGGCACTAAATCTATGTTTAGACAATCTATTAAGTTGTGCAACCCTTCTTTTCTATCGGGAGAGTTGTAGGTAAGTACGCATGAAATCGAATTTTTCTGCTGTGTCGGTGAATTTTTTTTTCATAAATATTGATATTCGGAAAAAAGTTCACGTCAGACTTTTGTATTCAGCAGAATGATATCCCGATGATATCCCTTACTAAAAGATCCTATATGATCTGATGAGATTTTTGAAACATAAAAATATAATAGGATTCTTATAGGAATCCCATGGAGTTCCTTTAGGATCCTATAGGATTCTTATTGGATCCTATAGGATCTTTACATAAGGGATGCCACTCTCAAAGCAGGTCGGGTTCATTCATCATTCAGTTCATCGGAAAATGTTAACCTCTTTTGCGGAACACTGTCTAGTGCTTGGTCTTTAAGTTCCCACAGCAAATTCAAGAACAAATTACGACAGGGCCAGGGCTTCTAGCTGGTTGGATTTAAACCACACAAGTTTAAAAAGTTACTCAATACAAGAAATTTCCTGGAATAACATCACATTAAACGTGTATCACACCGGCCACGCTCTCGCATAAGTTGTCTGCTAACGAAGTTTGGGTGCTGTACCATTTATTCAGTGCATACACTCTTAGAAAGGTGTGAGCAATTTCCGAGAAATTGAGCGAAACTGCAGTTAGCGATTTTACTCCCTACAAAACAAGGAAGCAATGCCGCTCACCTCTCTCTTTCCTAAGAATAACCACAGAATTTTTCTACAATTTTTGAAAAGTACTCTCCCACCTTCGTTTCGCGCTCTTAAAAAATTTATGAATTCTGCTCATATAAAAGAGTAATTATCGATTGTACTTCCTCATTTTCAGGGAGTAAAATAGCTAACTCCAGTTTCGCTCCCTTTCTTGGAAATCGCTCATTCTAAGAGTGTATATGCTAAGTGTAAGAGTGCATTTTCTAAGAGTGTATATGGTGCTTCTGGCACGGGGAAAGTTTATTTGCGGTCCTTCAACCCACGTCCAATCACAACAGGGTCAATATTGTATATGGTCATTTTTGAGGTTGTTTAAATACGATCACGTAACAGCGACAACTGGGTCTAATACATTCCCAACTTCTTACTGCAGGAAGTTCTACATGAAGTAGTGAGTGCCCTGTTCTACACGATGGCAGGAATCATTCTTATTGGCAATACAAGACATTCCTGCTCGACGCAGGGCGATGACTTCCTCCTCGCCTGTGGGATCGTCTGTCTCTTCGTCGGCGTCTTCTACTTCGCCGATGCCTTGCTCTCGGGACAGAAGGGTCGCAGCATCAAGGAATAGACCCATGGGATTCGTGTCCTCTGGCATCAAAGTGCATCTATGCAATATTGCTGCTGTCTGTCTACTTAGTTTATTTGTTCGGTAACTCCTTCTCGGCCTCCAATGAGATCATAGTGAAACGAGTTTTAATTTAAGGCTTGAGCTCTCGAAAAGTTTATAGACATTTCCACCTTCAAAAGCGAATCTCTCGAGAACGAGGGGAACGGCCATGCGCGCACGCGAGGGATACGCCTTCTTCATTCCACCTCCTCGCTAATACGGCGACGTCCGCGGGTTTGCTAAGGGAGAGGACAAAGCCTGCCCAAGTTTACTTTAGGTCAAGCTGGGGACAGTTAGGAAGACGCGCACGAGAAGGCGCGAGCAAAGAGGAGTTCCGAAAGCGTAGTCCTCCTCGAGTAGATAAGTCCATGAGTTGAATCCGATTCTCCTCTTCCTCCCCGCCTCCAAAAGCTTGGTCCTCCTCGGGTAGTCATGCCCGCTCGGCTCAACCTCCCCATGGGGTGTACGCTATTTCCTCGCGCTTAACTTCTAATCAACTTCCTTCAGGATACCGGTGGAAACACTCCTGACTCCCGAAATAAGGGTCTTACTCGGGGAACCATCCTTCCCTCCATACATCAGATATTTAGATATAATAAGTACCGGTTTAAGGCGTGGTAAATAACGTGGAGCCAGAGGCGCCATCTCGCCTCGATCCGAGAAAATACTCTCAATTGGGTCTCTGGATTCTGGATTAAAGCAAAAAAAAAAACACTATATACAATATCGTGACAATATTATAGCACAGATTCCCAAGGTTTCCAGGTTTTACTGCTCACCTTGTACATTCTACCATGAGTTAAAAGTGAAGAAATGTGAAGAATTTATCCACGTGATCGAACAACAATCAGACTGCCTCGTATCGTCTTCAAAGTTTGAAGCTAATAATCGGATCACGACGTGTGTAAAGCAGAAGGCAGCCCAACATATAAAACCGTGTCGATCGCAGAAATACGTGAGTCTATGTTTCCATGATGAGACTTTCAAGTGCCTGTCAGTTTTCAAATTCGAACAGCTGACCACTAACCCTCAGTCCTCAACTTAGTAGCAAAACTGAGACGGCGAAGTAAATCAAGCTCTATTTCTAGATTAAGTATTAAATTCTACATTCAGAGCCTAAATTTCAGTATTAATTGTTCCCACCGCCGACCTGGATGATGGTTCACAGGGGAGAAGAGCATCGTCAGGAATCTCACCTGATCAATATTCATGGAGGTTAATTCGCTTAACATGCTGTTTAACCTCCTGCAGGAGCACGAGAAAGTCTTGGACATTGGCCAAGAGACACTTCCTCACGACTAGGTTCCTCATTTCAGAGACCTCACCACACGGCAACTTCGGACAAACTCCGAATTCTTCAGCAACGGCCGAGGAATACCCCTGACATCTGCTCGTGAAAACAAAGGTCGAGTCGAAATGAAGTTCTATCGATTCGTGCCCCTCCTGTGGACGGCGTTTTCCCTGCAACTGCCAATTGGAACACGTCGAAGCAGTTCTTTCGAGTCGGTCACAGACTTCTTCCTGAATTCGCTACCACGTCGCCATCAGGCCGTCGTCCTGGCAAATACGATACTAAGAAACGTAAATGCGTATTCTAATATTCCATTAAAAATTCGAGCCTGTTTAGCTTCACGACCCCACAGTTTTGCAGTTTCGCCAAAGAGTTGATGGGGAGGCGCAAGCACTCTGTACTTGTTCTCCTTCGATGAAAAGTTCTCAGAAGTGCAGCAAGGCCCTGGATATCATTTAGCCTGTGCCATTTGCTTTTATTTACCCTCCAGTAGATTTAATTAGCATTTTAGTGTTTGCTGACTTTCACAGTCCAGGTAGAGAATAAATATAGAAACGTATGAAGTGAGGGGAAAACCATTCTGATAATTTTGCCATCTGACATTCGTGTTCACGAATTCCGATTCCATGGAGACCCTTCGACCAAAGCCAACCGCGTAGTTAAAGTACTTCGCCAAACTCACTGACACGAGGAAACCAATATATATTTTTGACTTCTCACATGGGAGTTAAGATGGAGCAAAAATGGCATTCACGGTATCTCTCTTTCTTGTCTGGCCCAACGTGGCAGCCTCGCCGAGCCAGCCCCGATGAGCCAGCCCCGACGAGCCAGCCCCGATGAGCCAGCCCCGCCGAGCAGCCACGGCTTCAACACCGCTGGTGGGTCACGAGGCTTCGCGGTGATAAGCTTATAGCTTGGAAGTCGCGTTGGCAGCGGATGGGATTGAAAATCTGAAAAGTATTTGTTGTAGGGGATCCCTAGGAAAGTGCAAAGGGGGTTCACACTGGGGTCACACCCGTAGTTAAGCCAAAAGTGACTCCCCGAGTTCCCGCCAGATGGCCGTACGAGGCGTCCAATTCAAACGGCTGGAACTCGGAAACCGTTGGCCGGGGGAACCCGCAAGGTCAAACGTCAAAGGTCCATATAACTGGGAATAGCGTAATTTTTGAGAACGGTATTCCGCCAAAGACGAAAACGACATCAAATCTCATGGGCCTCGTACAGAGATTTTCGAAGTAAAAGTATCAAAATGTGTTCGAAATTGGGGCAAAAAACGCTACTCCTTGCTTTTCTCTGTTCTCGGCGTCGGGGCCAAAAACGGGAAAATGTTCTCCGGTCGATCGATGGGGAAGAGTCTCTAGAAAGCAGGGACGCCGCGACCGCGTTCATTCCTAAACGGGTTCCTTCGGAAATTTCCTTAAAAGTCGTTAATTTTTTTGAAGAAAAATCGGCCGCCATTGTCGGCGCGCTCGCCGCAGAATGCGACCGCTCGAAAGCGAAAACGAGAAAATCTCCAATCGATCGATGGACGAGAGGGAGACTTCACCCGACGCATTGCGAAGCGAAGTCGTATTTCGCCCCCATTCGACGAGGGTGTCGAAAAAAAGGCCGACTTCGCTTTTCAGACGCAACTCGTGAAATTTTCTCCGATAGCTCTATGGATACGATTCGCTGCCCGCCTCCACCCACCGCCTTCATCGGCGCGCCCGATGGGGGGTTTCTCTAGTATCTGATTGGAAAGAAAGTTCTCGGAATTTCATGAACAATT